GGGGGGGGGGGGGTTGAATGAGGAATCAGAGAACTACCAGTTTAACCAGTGCTGAATAGCATACTTGTTAGAGGTGATGTAGGGCTCCTTAGCAAAATGAAAATAAACTAATCCCTATATAATAAAATGCAGCATGCAGTAAGTCTAATATTATTACCTGGCAAGAAACCAAAATGTGGCTATGCACTCAATGAACTCTATTCTTAAAGCAGCGATTCAAAAAAAAAGGTGGGGGTGTGGAATTTGTAGATTATAGAAACCATGTAGATTGCTTCTGATCTTCAAAGCAAGTTTGAAGCTCAGGTGACCTACATATCTGTGGAGGAACAATCCTAGGAGGCCTTCTGACTCTGTGCTCAAACCTGAAAAGAAGCCTGATTCTGATTAGATCAGCACTTCCTGTCCTCTCAGAGCTTCAGAGGCAGCTGATAAGGCTCAGCTACTTCTAGTAATTAAAGAAACAGGTGGAACAACATAACACTATCGCTATGGAACTCAGCAAGTTCATTTCCTTCGATCCTGAGACTCTTGACACTTTCTCTTCATTTCCCCAATATAAAACTCATTTCCGTTCACTGGAACTAAGAATTTGAGGAGGGGGGAAAAAAATCTCCTGCACCCACTAATTTATAAAAGAAAAGAAAACCTTAATAAAAGTGAAGCTTTATTAGTTCTAGAAAAAGTCTGTTTATGCTCACCAGTTTAGTGGAAACATTTATCTGAATAAGAAGGGTACAAAACTGACACACCACAGGGAGATTAAAGTAACACATGGCAAATAACTCAAACAAAATAACCATGCCAAAATTTAGATTATAAGGAGAGGAGGGACAAACCAGTTATAACTTGACCTCCATTCCAGTTTTCTACATCTCAAACAACTGAGAAATTGATGGTCCTAAGCCTCACAATTCAGTCAAGTATTGGCTACGAGGAAAAAATGGGGGGGGGAGGCGGTTAAACAAATTATACACATCTGTCCATGAACATTTTTTTTTGCCAGCTGCTGCCTTTTCAAATTTGACCTCCAGATAAACAGTACCAAGACAGGTGCTTTAATTGATTGAGCTTAAGTGACTGTTACATTTATGCCCAGAGACACTTCAGTTTGCAAGTGACATATTTTTCTGCCCCGTCTGGTCCAGCAGTAGAAGGTGCTTCTATCCTATTTTTTTCTACCAGTTGACAAACAGGCTCCTGGAGAAATAAATAAAATTCATTTTTCTAGGGCTGGAAAAGCACAGTCTAGCCAGTCTAGTACTGGACTAAGATTCAGGAGCTGCATGTTCAATTTTGGGCTCTGGCACAAAATTTCTGCATTACTTTGGATGAGTTGCTATACGGCATGGTTGGTACTCTAAGGCAGACACATTCCTGAGCATGCCCTCTTCACCCTCTTCTGCAAGGCCACTGAGACTCTCCCCACACACATAACTAGATATAATGAGCATGACAACAAATATGTGGGGCACTTCTGCAGCAGCTTCACTGCCTTATTTGCATGTTTGGTGTGTGCAAGTGGGGGTGGTGTCTCCTCCACGGTGCTCCTGACTGGGAGCACCACAGGCCTGATGTAGATGTACTCCATCTTCCAGGACTGTCAGTTTTCCTTCAGTCAAATGGCAATACAAATATTTCCCATGCTTTATTTCTTGTGTATTTAGATGGTGATATCTTCAGCACAGAGACTATTATGTTTGGGGATATACAATTCACAGATTTTTTTAAGGTCAACAGCCAAACTCCTCCCTTCGCAAAATAAATATTAAAAATAAAGCTTTGGTTCACCTCAAACTAAACGTTATTTTCTCTCTTTTTTTTTAGCCAAAATGAAAAAGCACAATGTTCTATTCAATTCAGAATAAAACATCCCATTTGACCCAAAACAAAATATTCTAGGTATTCATAAGAGAAGCAAAAGTAATGAACTTGGCTAAAATGCTGGTAGAAGAAATGAGAGTGGTGTAGCCCCTCTTATACAATAGTTCAAATTGTTGGAGAACTCACCTAGAAAGTGGGAGGCTCAAAGTTTATCCCCTCTGGCGTCAGAGGAGATCCGAACCCATGACTCCCACAAGACTGCCCAGTACCAAATCAGATCTAGGAATGGGTCAAGGGGCTGTGGCTACGCTACTTAACTTTGCCATGCACTGTGGCAATGTGTAGGGGTACACAGAGGTGCACCCCCTAAAAGCACTGGTGCACCTGCTGACAGGCCATGCTCCCCACTTAAGCAATGGGCAGATGAGGCAAGTGGAAGCGCCAGTGCCCCCCCTGCAAGTGCTGCCCAGGGAGTGGGAGCCGCAGCCACTTCCAGAAATGCCACAGCCACTTCCAGGAGCGCTGCGGCCACTTCCCAGTTGGTGCGATGGGCCGTGGGGGACCCCCTGCCCGTCAGCAAGATTGGTCACGTGCCCCCCCTGACTAAGGTGGCACCAGTCGCCCATGGCCATGCACATGCAGTGAGCTCATTGCCTGTTCAGTGTGGGCTCCTACCAAAGCTCTGCATAAGCAGTGAGCTCTGAACTCACAAGCTGATCAGGGCAGGGGCTGGCTGGAGACCTTGCTTCACATGGTGTCAGAGCCCAGGGGGCAAGTAGTGTCACTGTTGGCACTTCTCCTCCCTGTTGAATTCAGCAGAAAGGAAAAGGAAGGGGATGACTGGTGGTGGCGGCCTGGGTCCTGGCGCTATGTTGAAGCAAGGGCTCCAGCCAGACCTTGCACCAAAAGCTCATGTATGACACAGCCAAACTGGAAGTATACCACACTACTGCAGCCCCCTGGATCTGCCCCAAATGCTCCACTGCCAGGCTGAAGGCTTTCTGGTGTAAGTTACTCCCAATTCCCCCTGCTGAAGTTGTCGCACTTCATACTGAGTATTTAAACAAAGCAGTCATTGCAATAGGGTCTGGCTTCCTTAGCCCAGTGGTGAGGACATTCACCTGGGAGTTAAGATATCTACATTCCAGTCACCAGAGGTAGATTAAGAGTTACCGGGGCCCTGGGCAAACACAAAATTGGAGGCCTCCTCTAGAAGTGCATGGATATATCAGTTGCATATCAGATCAGCACGGATAAAAGGAAAATTAGCATTATTGGCCATCAGCTTTTTTTGGCTGATGTACCTGATAATGTCACCAATAAATGCCGTGTGCATGTGTGCAGCCACCATGCACGTGGCCAGGAATGCAGCCCAGCAGCTTGGAGAGCAGCATTTTGCTGGTAAGTCTGTAGGAAAGAAGGGGTGTGGGGGAGAAGAGGCCGGGGGGGGG